TCCATCCTGTGTGATTTCCCTTCATAGTTTCCATCCTGTGTGATTTCCCTTCATGCCTCCATCGTGTATGGTTTCCTTTCATAATTCCCATCCTGTGTGATTTCCTTTCATGGTTCCCATCTGTGTGGCTTCCCTTCATGTCTCCCTTGAGGTGTGGATGACTAAGTTTGGAGCTCTTGTTACAGGACCTGGCTGAAGTTTTTATTTGTGGTGGGCTGTCACTAAATTATTCACAAGTGAATACATAGTGTAGTGGCCGAGTAAATAAAGATTACTCTATTTTAAGACAGGTTGTGCTGAGAACTGCATTCATCTTCTGTGTTCTGTTCTCATTGTTACTTATCCCACTATTGGGCCCGTTCTTACTAAGAAAAATATATTGTTCTCTCACACTGCTTAAAAGAGCATTAAAGAAGCAAATATTTGAAACTGGTCTCCCATAAACATTACTGAACCTTAGAAACTAACAGAGAGGAAGAATTGGGCCCATTCTTGATCATTTGCAAAAAGCTTAGACTTCAGGTAAAGGACGGTGGGTCACTGAATGCAAGAAATAAAAATCCGGCTGGATGTGGTGGCGCACCCCTGTAATCCCAGCATTCAGGCAACTAAGGCAGGAGGACTGTTGTGAGTTTGAGGCCAGCTTAGGCTACAAAGTGAGCTCAAGACCAGCCTGAACTGCACAGAGAGACCCTGTCTCAAAAAGACCCAAAAAAAGACATAAAGATCCAGTTTTAAATGAACTTGAATGTATATTTCCATTTGATGACCTTAGCTGTAGGAGTCTACTTCTGTGTAGAAACAGATTACTAGGCAGTTTGGTCATGGAATAGAGATGACTACAGAATCTTCTTGTTGAGTTAAAAATGAAAACATTGTTTTGATCATTTAAAAATTTGTAGATTCAAATAGTAACCGAGTGGTGGTAACGGTGAAGAGGAAGGTGAAAGCTTGCTTCTTAGAGGCTTTACTCACAGAGGACACCTTCTCCTAAAGGCACCAGCCATTGCTAGGAACAGAGTCACAGTCTGAAGGAATCCTGTTGGACTTTGGGCTGGTGGTCTGTCTTCTCCCAGTGTATTTTTTACATTATTAAATTCACAGAATAGTTACAGAGGAGTGTTTGTGAATACTATAACTTGATAACTTAGAATTAAAATATATACTATTTTATATATTGAAGAACAGGTTGTTTAAATATTTGACTTCTCTAAGATAACAATTTGTATTTCTAGTCATCATGAAACTTTTTCTTCACCAGGTATTTATGTATTAGTATTCCTAACTTTCATATAGTGTGGAGAGTCTGTAGGCACCTTGGTCCTGAGCACACAACTGTTTCAGATCTGCAGCATGTTTCACTGCTTTTGTTTGGGTCTGTTGTCAAAGCGACTCAGGGCAGTCATTGCCCACAAAAGCCTAATGAATCTATCATATCTGTTCTGCTTGTTGATTCCCTTCTAGGTGCTGTGGTCTTTGGAGTTGGGTCATTGGATTTCTGAGGAGCCTTTTGAACTCTCTACCTACTTCCCAGCAGCTCCTGTAAGTCAGATTTTTTTTTTCTTATGATAAATGCAGTTTTGTTTGCTTTGGAAACCATTATACTGATAAACTCAACTTACTAAGTCAAGTGCAGTCATGCTGAAATTAAAGACATACCCACAGAATTTAATGCCTTTCATTTATTTATGAGATCATATTGAGAATGTGATGATACTTTTTAAAATTGTAGTAAAAAATGCAGTCTTAAGAAATTTTAATTATGAATGCCCTCAGGATTGAGGAAAATAAAAGTAATTTTTAAAACTATTCTTGGGAAGGTAGAATTATATCTTGCATACTGTTTTAAAAACAAATGCCTTTATGTTAATAGAGATAGAACCGATAGGTATAAAAATGGTGGCTTGTTAGCATTTTAATAGAGTCTTTGTATTTTGATGGTTTTCCTAAATTCAGCTTCAGTTTTAGTGACTTTTAAGTCAGATGTTTAATGAGAAAGTTCCAGGTTCCATTTTTTTTAAAGATTAAGCAATAATGAAGTGAGTCATTTGACACTTTATTGGAAGCGCAATGGTACATAAGTCGGCTTTCATTTTCAGAGTTGTTGGCTGCTTTGTGACAGCTAATTCTTTCAGAGATTGGTGTCTGAGTGCTTCCTGTGGCCACGTTTGCTCTGTGTGGCTGCCTGAGTCGGCCTCCGACTGTGACGTAGCAGGAGGCTGAGCTCTGTGTGTAATCGCTACAACTATCTAGGTCATTGCATTGTTTTTGTTTTCATTTTTAGGATTATTGTTTTGCTTTCCTTTCAACTTTGTAAATGTTTTCTTAAAGAGAGAAAAAATTCCTCCCAGCAGGACTGTTTGTTTGAAATACTGTACAAGGAACTGAAGTGTAAAGTAAAAACACAAATTCCTCCCATTCTCTGTCAAGCGAGATTATATATATCTCCAAGTAACATGGTGAGGTTTGTCTTTGAAATTCGTTTTTCCTGCCTACATGAGAAATTGATAGAGTGGTCTACTGCTGCCAGTTTTTTCTGTATTATCATTTTCTTAACTCAGCGTCTGTCTTACGGCCATTGAGGTACTAGAAACTTACTGTGGGCTTTGAACCTGTGAAATTTTCTAATTAGCAAATTTCTTTAAAACCAGATGTAAACCCATCATAGGCTCATTGAGTTTTGCAGTCCCTCTCAAGTGTCACAATAGGAAGAGTTCTCAGCCAGGAGGGTCTGAGGGTAGCAGTGGGGAACGCAGGATGGGAGGTGGCCAGAGCCTGCAGGCTCGTTGTGTCCACAGACCAGCTGCAGCTCTGAGCAGTGCCACCCTACCCTAATGCTGAGTCTGAGGGCCGCAGGGTGAAATGAACACAGAAGAAAGCAGAATAAAGGGGAAAAATAGGACAGTAAGACATGGTGACACACATAGGAAATGCTGGCTTCCTTCCTAGCTGTTGCCTCAGAATGAGTTGAAAAATTGCTTCTGAATTCGTTATGCAGATGTTCATTAGTGCTGACTGTACTGTGAAAGCTTCCAAAGAAGCTAGTGCTGTAGGAGCTAGGATTTTACAGTCCTGAGCATAAAGCTACGTCCTAAGTTTTCTGTGAGCTTGTGGGTATAACCTGAGCATGAGATTTTGCTTCTGCATTTTGAAACACTTTTTCTTTTCAGTCTGCTGATGGATATAAAAAAAAATCTTACTAATGCAAATTATTTTTTTCTTAAGTAAGTCAAATCTTGAGCATTATAGCTTTGTAAATGTCTCAGATGGAATGCTTTGCTCAACCACAAATTAAATTTAAGCTTAGTCTGTAAAATAAATCTAGCTAGATGAGAAAATAGACCTCTTGCTATAATAGTGAGAAGAAAGTATCTTTGTCATAGACTTAAATGTATAATTTCCTTCATTAAAAATCAAACTTTTCCTTGTTGTGAGCACAGTTGTTTCAAAACTAAATTACAGAACTTACAATATTATCATAAAAGTTAAACATAATTCTCTCACTTAATAAGTTACATTTAATTACTAAAAATACCTTCATATTTAACAGCCGGGCAGAATAAAATAGTACAATCTTCATATAAACCCAAGTAGCAATCACCTCTATTAGTAATTTTAAAGGTCCTGGAAGTTCGTGTCATATAAACTTGAAATAAGTATTAGAGCATTAACTTTAAATTAAGCTGTCAAGAGATATGTAAATATGCTGTTTTTAAAATATAAATTTAAAGTACATAAGAAGAGTAAAAATGCACTATATTTTTCCAAATATTAAACTATAATAAGCACTTCTCAGAAAAATCCCTGAATATATAGTATATTTTTATGGCTTAGAGAATTCTGTCTTCCTTTTAATTGTAATAGTGATGCTGAATTCAGGACACAAGGATATTTACACAGTCTATAAACAGTGCTTGGAGGAATGCAGTTCCAAGATTATCTGTACTATATAACGTCAAGTGTTCTGTTTTCCAGTTATTTACTGATAAACTCGCACATGACATTCTTGGTTGTGACAGCAGAGTCTGTGAGTTGTCATCTGGTCTCAACCTAGAACTTATCTCCGCGTAGGTGTGCCACCAGCCCACTCTGCCAGGTTGCTTCTGGCTTGGGTTTTGCTTTGGTTCCTTGAGCCATGCAGGTTACTGGTGCTATTTCGGACTCAACTATAGTCAGGAGCTTGTGGACCTTACGGGCCAGGAGCTGCCTGTGGTGGGAGCAGAGTCAGCATTCGGCCGTGTGCTCAGTGCTTTGGATCCGCCTTGGGAATGGTACAGGACCCTTCCGGGGGTGGGCTTCGGCACTTAGGAATCTGCTGGCCGGATCATCATGGTGGTGGCCTTGAGCGAGTAGCCTGATCCCTTCCAGTAGTACCACTTGATCCCGTTGAACTTATTCATGTTCTGCCTTTGTGGATAGTACATTCCGTTCAAGTTAGAAGGTCCACATGCATCAAACCACCAGCCTGTGAAAGCAGAACATGGAAGGAATCAAGAGCAAGGTCACGTTAACTGCACAGAACGGTGTTCAGCTGAGCTGGTCATCATGACCAGGGCCCTGCAGCAGGCGCATGCAGACGGCATGCCATGGAACGTACTATGTGGGCAGAAGCATGCCCCCTGCTCAGCCCCAGGCAGTCCTACTCCCACTGTGGCACATGTCCTTATGAGCTGCCTTGCCCTTTGCTCTGTGCTGTGTGGACCGGCGTGTCACCCATGGGCATCTGAGTAGTACGCAGTGCAGTTGGAAGTAGGGGTAAGTAGAACTCCCAAGAGCCCCTGGAGAGCTCCAGGCCTGGGTTACTCTCCAGCCCTGCAGCACGGCGGGCTGAGCGGTTTGGGCTCCCCTCCATCAAAATTGTTTTGGTTAAAATAGAAGCCACATGTTAAGCATTCAGTGGAGCTTGATCAGGAGGAGCCCGACAGCCGTCATGCAGCAGGGGCCCACAACAGCAGGCAGGCAGAGTCCCCCTTGTCCCTGGCACGGTCCTCAGAGAGGAGTTTGCCAGTGTCAGGGTCCAGAGGACACACGTCTATTTACATGTGTGAATCAGAATGCGCCTTCAGCACCTTGTGTGGGTCTCCGTTGTACGATACCATTGAGGGTCATGCTTTGATGACAAAAAAACTGTGACAAGCATTGTTGATGTCTCAGAAAAATAACTTAGAAACATAAGAAAAGCACTTAGAAAAATAAGTCAAAGTGAATGAAACTCAACTCAGGGACCTAAGAAATGGTATTAGGATAGATTTTACCGCATCTATACACTGTGATTCCCTAAAAATACCCTGATTCAGAGCTGGGAGTGGTGGTGCACACCTGTCACCCTGGTCCTTGGGAGGCTGGGCTGGAGGATCGAGTTGGAGACTGGCCTGAGCAACTTAAGGACAGCCGCTCCCTAACCAGCAAACAAATAAACAAGCCAACACCAGATAAAAAAACTCACACATGAGGTTTGCACCTTGGAGTGCATGGTCCCGTGGGCACCTGCCTTCTCTCTGACGAGAGCCTTGGCGTGAGGTGACTGAAGGAGGGGAGCTGACAGCGTTCCTCGGAGCAGTCGGGAACATCCGAGGTGCACATCTGGCCTCTGGAGCCTGCTGACTGACCCACTGTCTACAAACATCTCTCGCTCCCGGGCTGAGCTCTCGGTGGCCCACACCACTGGTAGGAATTCGGCCTCTTTGCAGCCCAACTGTTCTCTGCTCTCTTGGGCTGCTTTTTTTCTGCCCGTCTCCCCCAGCTCCACTCTCAGCCCCTAAATCTTGATCTGGGTAAATAAATACATTGTTTCCTTGGATATGAATGCACCCTCCGTCTCTGGAGTCCTGCACGGCACACGGGTGGTCTGGGAACCTCCAGCCTATCAGGCACATGGGCCCAGAGTGTGGGAATGGAGGGCAGGAAAGAAGATTAGGGGTGTTTGTGCCCCCCTTTAAAGAGTATTGTTGTGATGGGAATGAGTGAGACCAGAAGCTTTTTACGAAGTCAGTGAAATAACTTTTCTGTACCCGAAATAATATGCCTTGCAGGGAAAACCCACAGCACCAAGCACTGACTATATTATCTCAGGAACCAGAATATTGATTTTTTAATAGGGCCTAATTCTTGCAGTAGTAAAGACGTGAAATTTAGAGTCAGGAAAACGATTGAATTTCATTTTTTTCCATAAACATCCTTCTCTTGATTGTCAGCAATTCTTACGTGAGGTGCAAATATAGTGTAAGCTTCAGTCTTTCTCTTGTCTAATTAACGCAGCACCTGATCTTTATAAACTAGATCAGCCACAGCTCCAACCTTTGCTTCTCCTGGGTGAGCAGTGGATCCCTTTTTGCTAATATAATTTCTACTCTCCACTCATTAAACCCTGCCGATTCCTGTTGGCACTCTTGGCAGAGCTCCTGGTGCTTCTTAAAATCTGTTACCGTTTTTAAGAACCAATTAGACAGCATCTGTCAGTATTCTTTCTTATCTCGGTCATTACTAGCTGGTGCCTGTTACTCCATTCCTAAACTTTAAAATACTGGAAGCAGAAGTTGTCTAACAGTTGGTTCTTCTCAGAGAGATTTTAAATGTTTTGACACCAACCCAGCTTTCAACATGTGGGCCACAGCAGTCTGCTCATGGGGTGCTTTTTGTTTCAAAAAGTCAGGGTGGAAGACAACAAAAGCCTTGGTTTAAAGTTGACAATCACTCACCTTGCTCTGATGCCCTAAAAAAGCAGGTTGCTTAGTTTCTTTGTAAGTATTTGCTCTGTGTTAATAAAATACGTATGAACTGAAAATTCCTTGTGTGAACATTAACATATTAATAAGAAATATAGCAAAGAGGAGTGAAATGCACTCTCCCATGTACTATCCAGCAAGCACAAACTCAAGAGAGCTCACTGAGTATTGAATGTCCCCTCCCTTGCCAGTGGTGGGTCCTCTGGGGACACAGTTGGCCTGCTGACAGTTCTCGCCCCCTGTCACATTCTCTCTTCAAAATTAACAGTCTAAAGAAGTGAAAAACATATTTGCCTGGGTCCAGCTAGTTTTCTGTGTATGAAATTTTAGACACAGTCGCCAGTCACAAGTGGAAGTCCCAATGGCTCGCCTTTCAAGCTATGACATTACGCAATAGAAAGAGGAAGACAGAAGAGTCATCCCTACCTCCTGTTAGCATTTGTGAACATTTGCAAATACATTTGTCGTTGTCTGCATCCTTTGTGCTAAAATCATTTCCTGGTTGGCTTATGCTGCTTATTTTGCCGGCTGTGCCTGTGAGTCCTTTAAGGTGAATCCTGTAAGCATACAAAGGAAAAAATAAAAGATGTAATTGGCTTGGGTTGTTGATTTACTGTAGTGGAAAATTTTTCATAGTGAAGAATTCCATTGTACAGAAGCAAGTTCTGTGCTGGTCAGTGTACTCCAGTACCTACTCTGGACAAAACATTTTGCACTGGTATAAACAGGAACCAACTTATCATCAAATCCTTCGGCGAAGAGGGATGTTTTCATGAAAACTTCAGCACATATCACTTGCACAAGTATCAGCAGGCCCTGTAGAGCCCTATAATTCATTGTCCTGCTGCCTTCAGATAAACAGAAGAGGGGACTGCAGCGTGGAGCAGCGTCCCCCCAGGTCTCTAGCCAGTGTCCCGTGAAAAGTAAGGTATGCTGACGGGCACCATCAGCAGACACTGTTTTCAGCAGGGCTGGGCATGGCGGTGGGGAGGACAGCAGACGAGGAATGGTTTTTGAGGTTGGGGTAGAAATAGGCACAGCTGTGGAGAGAATAACCCCCTAAGGCAGATTTGCCTCATTTCTGTACATCAGCTCTGAGAAAGAAATAAATGGCATGCTAAGGACAGGCCGTGCTTGTAGGATGTCATGACAGCATGCCTTCCACCAGCCAGCTGGCCCAATGAGGGGACCCTAGAAAGGCAAAGGGTGTGTGAGTTTTGAAAAAAATGAGCTTTTCTGGAGTTCCCATGTGCGAGTGGTCAGCGCAGGTCAGAGCTTGCTGTCATGCGCTGGCAGTGGTGACTGCACTAGGTGGGGAGTGAATCGGCACCGGGAGCATCTGGTGCATTGGATCCCAGTGTTCTGACGGAGGTGCCAGCGCATGAAGACCTGGGCCACAGATCAGAAGTCCCGCAGTGGCAGCAGAACTACACTGTACACCCTTAGAATTATGCGTGTCTTTGTGAAGCCTGCTGTCATTCACTGAGCACGTTGCTTTGGAACTAATATAATTTGCAAGAATTCCTGTTGGAACAAAGTACGAGAAGAGAGGAGAGGCCTGCTCAGTTCCAGGCACTTAGTGGGTGTGTGTGCTGCGTCCCATGACAGCCCCAGAGCTGGGCGCCATGTCTGCCGTTACTATCAGAGGTCAGAACCAGACCAGAGTCTGACCTGGTAAGCTGTGGCGCTGGGATGCGCGCCAGGTGCACTGCCTTCTGTGGTTTCCAACCTAGCGCACAAGTCACAGAGATGTTTGCCTGTGGAGGAGGAGGTGGGAGGATGGGCACGCGGAGCCCATGCAGAGGCGTTCCCTACGTGTGGCTCCTCAGTAACTCCCAGGTCAGTGGCTCCCACGTGGCTTTTTTCTTTTAATACAATAACCGTAGACACTTCATACAGCATTGACTAAACTGCTGAATTTCCTACATTGTCCCACATGTTTGAGGAATGAGACCAGCCTGGCTCAGCCTTTGATGCTCGCTGCAGACTCTTAACACAGCAGGTTCTCATCGGGCGGGGCTCTGGCCTCTGCTTCCCTGCAGTCTCTTCCCAAGGACCTGAGCAGGGCCTGAGACGAGCCGTCTCCTTGGCTGTCCCTCTGTGTGTCTCATCTGGCTCACTGAATAATCTGTCCCCACGCAACTCGTTAAATTTCCCTAACGGCAGGCAGAATAGGCAGAATATTTTTGTGGTTTTTTTTTTTTTTTTTTTTTTTTGGTTTTTCTCCCGTACCGGGAACCGAACTCACGACCTTGCGCTTGCCAGGCAGGTGCTTTGCCGCTGAGCTAAATCCCCAGCCCCTAGGCAGAATATTTTTATTAGTGCCTGTCTGAAAACTGTAATTCTTGACCCTGTGATGATGGCCCCCTGGTTTAAAGGACTTTCTTTTACAATTTGATATCGAGAACAGCCTCTTTCTCTGTCCCTTTCCTTCATTCTCGTTTTCCTTCTCCTCCTTTTCCCTCCCTTCTTCCTTTTCTCCTCCTCCTCCTTCTTGCTCTACCCCTTCTCCTTCTCCTTCTCCTTCTCCTTCTTCACTCTTTTTGCAGTATATTAAGGATTGAACCTAGGGGTTTTACACTGAGCCACATCCCCACCCCACTTTTCAGCACTCTGATCCTTCTTGGCTTGTCTGAAATTTCATTTTCTCTTTTCGTGTTGTTATTATTCTCTTTGAGACAGGGTCTTACTAAGCTGCCCAGGCTGGGTCTGACCCTGGTGCTGGGACTGCGGACATGCACCACTGTGTCCAGCTAACTTCGCCACACTCTTGGGTTTGTTTTGCTTTTTAGTGTGACTTGATTGTCTGCAACAGTGTGGTAAAGACGTAGTGCAGCATTTAACAATAAGTCTTTATAAAATTGCTGAATGGTTTATAAAAAGTGACTAACTTTTAAGGGTTAGCATACAAATAGCTTTTGGTTTTCTAAAAAAGAATTCTATCCTGTTGGTGCTGCATATATTCATTTCTTACAATATGCACTTTTCAGTTTTCCAACATTTGGAAATGTTTCCTAAGGGGGAACATTGTCACAGCTGCTGCACCACTGGCATTGTAAAGCATGTGTAGATACTCAAAGTTCTAGCGACATCGCTAGTATTTTGTTACATCAAACGTCAGGTTTCATCAGTGCAGAGATTTTTATGGAATATGTTTCATGTTGCTAAGGAAATTAAGTTTTAAACAAGTATCTTTTTCTAAATGGGGTATCCAAAAACTGATTGCATTCTAAAGGAAATGTCCACTAGAACCAACTCGGTTTAAAATATTTTTCTAACGTCAGCATACAAGGGTAATGACCCATTCTGTAAAATCTTCTTACACAAACATCTAATCCTTAATTTTTGTGTTTCCTTTTTTTAGTTCCCCTGTTGTAGATTCCTAACTGTTGCCAGTTGAGAAAATATTTAGCTTGGAGGTGACACAGTGAGAACCGCTGGCGTCGCGGCATCCAGTGCGGCTCCAGTCTCTTTGGGGGCGAGCGGGGCCTGCCGACCTGTCTCACCATGCGTGTCCCCGCCTGTCCAGGAGCCCTGCTTTCCGCATTGAGGACCGATAGAGTGGGGCATCGACTTCATGTGTTTGTACATGCCCTTCTGAGTTGGAGCCCATGTCTGAGGCAGGGCTTCCAGCCATGGCGTGGGCCCGGACAGCATTTCAGGCCTGGTGACTCCGGCGCGTGCCCCTATGCGGTCCTTCAGGACCCTGCCCAGGACCCCCGTAGGGCTGTACATGCTGAGCTTCCCCACAGGCCCGAGTTGGGCACTGGTGAGGTTGGGGACCCGCGGGGGCAAGCGCTTCCTGCAGCTGCTCCTCTGAACAGTCCTTTCGGGCTCGGCACAGGCGTTGCGCAGCGTGTGCCCCGTGGTCCCCCGGGCCACTGTTCTGCTGCTCGGGTTCATGCAGAGCAGTGCTGGTGACAGCTGCCCCCAAGGCCCTTCCTCAGTGCCAGCGGCCCACACTCCTGGCCACACTCCCGCGCCGGGGAGTGCTGGCCTCTGCAGCGTCTGTGTGTCACACAGGCAAGTCCCATCCCTACTTCGGCTCCCCTCATATGGCGTTTTAGAGCCAGAAAGGAAATTCCCAGTCCAGGTCGCACATGCTGCTGGAACATTCCAGGTTACTGCCACCAAACAGGCAAAGGCAAGAAAATCCAAAGGGAAGCTGTGGATCGGATGCACTCTACTCCAGAGCAGAGGAGTTGCCCAATTTTGCCAGTGTTACATTTGGCAAGTAATCCTGACTTTGGGATCAAACACAGTAACTCATGTGTTTAAACTTCAAACAGTAGCTTAACTTTTAATACCTTTAAAAAGAAATCAGTAAGTCCCAGGTAGTCATCTGTTATGATAATAGGGACACCTGGCACTCACTGATGTCTGCGGTCTGCTGTGTGTGCAGCGCAGTCTTTGAGGAAACAAGCCATGCAGAAAACCTTAGATTGTTCCAGCCAAAGTTAGAATTTAAAAGCAGAGAAACCACCGTACAGCCAGACAGGACCCTAAGAAACAAGACCCTGGCGGGCGGCCACTGCAGACCTTGGCTAAGTGTCACAGTGTCGCTGTCTAGATCCCCACCCGGCCCCTCCACCGAGTGTCCCTTTCCAGGGCAGTCCTTGGCTTACCGGTACTTGAGCTCCTCGCTAGCCAGGGAGAAGTGCTCGTACAGCGAGTACGCCTCATTGCCTTCCCAGTCCTGCAGGTGGATCCTGAGCACATAGCCCTGCAGGTTCGTCAGCTGGGAGATGAACTCGTTCCCCAGCCAGTGCTCTCCTGCAGGGTTCCCAAAGCCCTGGAACCCAAGTTGGGAAACTCAGTTACTTCATTTGTTTTTTCTTTATGCATTTGAAACCTACCCGAGGCTCATCGATGTACCATGGACTAACTGCCAGCTAGTCGGCAGGAAGCCGTGCTATACGGGGCACGCGCAGGGACTTCCACAGGAAACCCTGCAGAGGCCGGTGTTAAGGACCCATCCGTTCCTGGGGGAGACCTCGTGTTAGAGGGATGAGGCTCCTGGAGGCGTGCGGGGAGTCCCCTGCCTGCTAGGCCTGGATGTGCCTCTGGGCTCTTCCATGGGGACACTGGGCAGGAACTGCCCCAAGAGACAAGGTCAGAAGTCATTGCCCACATTGGCTCTGTGCCTGAAAATCTTGGAAGTTGGTGTTCACCACGCATGTTCTTTTTCTGAGATAGTGTGAAGGATATCCATACCGCCTTATACTCTTTCCAAGTCCTCTGAAAATCCACGCTGCCGTTCTCGCGGCGCTGAATCACCGTCCAGCCGCCTCCTCCCGTCTCCATGTCACAGTAGGCCTGCCGGAGGAGGCACACGGTTACCACAGGGTCAGCAGGGACAGGGCCTTGCGTTGGAGAGACCGGACGGGGCGGGCGTGGACACACACAGCACGCACCACTGTGTCCGGGCGTGGGGGACCGGCTCGCAAGGGTTAGCTCTACTCCCAGCCCCTCACAGTGACAGAAACGTAACACGACGGAGGGAAGCAGTCATATGCCTTTCCTGTCACCATCTGTTTCTGGCCGAAGACCCCAACCCGAGATGACCCTAACAGCGCTGTTGCTCAGTGCCTTGTGAGGGGGACCTCGGCTGGTTTCGCAAGCCCAAATCTCCAGCTGTGGAAACCGCTGACTTGCGGTTGCAGCCTTTAAGGCCTCTCCCTCCTGCTGGCACCTGGCAGCCTGCAGGCAGTCGTGGAAAGCGGGTGTACTTGGGGGGGAAAGCGGGTGCACTTGGGTGGCAAGGCTTCCCACACTCCTGCTTCCTCTCCGTGCTGTGCAGCTGTTGGGCTCTCTGTGCGCAGCAAGGCCAGGTCCCAGCTGAGCCCCAGGCCTGAGGCCCGGGGCTCTCGTGAGCCAGTGCTCTGTGACCCCGCTTGGCAGGGCAGCTCCGCTCAGGGTCATGAGTTCAGGCTTCTCTGTACTTTGCTCACTCCCTATGGTATTTTTCTTCCCAGCTTTTTATTTCTGCAGTTAAACTGGCTCCATGGGCTTAAACTTGGTCCAGAACACAGAATTCTTTCTTGAGCAAAGAGCAGGCATGCTCAATTTCAACTCACCTGGAGTTTTATTATGAAATTAAAAACCCCTGAAAATAAGATTACATAAATAGTTTTCAATAATGAGATTATAGTAGGGCAAATATTGTGTTCCAAAAAGTCAGGTGACTTCCTTACACCATACATGGTGGGAAATACTGAAGTTCCAAAAAGTCAGGTGACTTCCTTACACCATACATGGTGGGAAATACTGAAGTTATGGTTCACAGCCAGCTGTAACTACTCTGCCTTGGTTGTTTTCCATGGTCTCTTAGACAGTAAGGGAGATGGTTTTGGCAGTGCAGGCTTAAATGTGAACGGTTCTGTGTTTGCAGGGGAGCGTCCATGGGACAGGAGCTGAAAGAACCAAGACAGCACCCGGTCCTGTCCTCTCATCTTACACACAAGGACACAGGCGCCCCAGGGGGGCACATGGACTGTTGAGAATGACCCTGACACATGCCCTGCAGAGACCCTGCCTAGCACTGTCCCCATCTCCCCTGTGAAGGTCACAGGCTCATACTGCCCTCCCTGTTGTGTGGAAAAATAGGTGCCAGGAAAGAAAAATGCATCTACCAATAAGAAAATTATTGGTTTACTCCCCAGTTTAAAGTTTATCCCCAGTTTAAATTAGTCAGATATCTGTAATTGAGCTACTAAGGAAAACCCCTTTAATATCACCCTGTATTGATGTTATTTTTATTAACTATCACAGTTGTCATTGGGACATGCCAGTTTTCCAAGCCCAACTCTGCGTCTTTGAAAGGAGGAAAGATTTAGTTAAAGTTGATTAATTTTATCACAGTCATTCAGCTATTAAATAGTGTGCATAATTTGAATAAAGTCCATGTAATTTCTGTGCAATATTTTTTCCACTACATCATGCTGCCAAAAACAGAAAAACCTGACCTTTTTGTTATAGGCCAGAGGTCCCAGAACACAGCTCCATGAAATGAAATCAGTTCATGAATAGTGCTGCTGCTTATTTGCCTATAGTCAATAAAACAGTCAGTGCTGCTCAAGTCTATCAATGTGTCTTTGTAAAAGTACGTTTAGTGGACTGGTCGAGTAAGGTACACTGGTTTGAGGATCCGTGTGTACACATAGACACTAATTCTCAATATCCTGAGTGGCAGACTGGGTTGGATGAACTGACATAGTTCTTAGGGAGCCTGTCCCTGTTCTAAGAATATATGATGAAGGTCAGAATCATTGTGGTGAGGTTAATAAAGACCTGCTCTCTCTTGTCAGGAGGTCAAGCCCATCTCCTTATAGAGTCAGAGGAGAGATTGGAATGCTGAGAGTCCCTGGCAGGCCACAAGCAACTGGAACCTCCCGCTGTCTTTCCGACTCCAGTAGTTACCATGATACGGTTATTAGCATGTTTCCTCATACTGCATCCAGATTATTTTAAATGAACAGAGGATTAATAAAAACTAAAGAATTACGGCCACTGAGTCATGAAACTTGAAGAGCAGGTGTCCAAGTAGAGCTGTCCACATATCCAGGAGATGTTCAGTGACAACGATGAAAGAGATGGTAGAAGCAGAAGTACTGAGAAGCAGAAGTACTGAGAGAACGCCAGGAGCTCAGCGCTCGGGCCCAGCAACCCGGAGGCAGTTAGTGCTTCCACCTGGTTAGGATGTTGCCTGGATCAGGGGCCTCATCCTCTTGCTGAGAGCCTGCAGCCGTTCAGCAGACAGTGTTTGGTGAAGTGCTGTGACTCCGCTTGCTACACAGCTGACCAGACAGCCAGCACATAAATATCAGGAGTCAGGTATTCTGGGAAATTTAGAGAAGGAAAGCATTATGCTCCTAGTTGCAGGAGAAGCCAGTCATGCTTTGGATAATTTCCTCTGGCGGTGCCTATATTGTACAACAACCTAATGAATTTTTCAAAAGTAAAGTTGCAGTATTTGGGCCTTTGGGAAAAAGGTCTTTTCAGAGAACTATTGCACATTATTTTCTTGAATTAGATAACCCAGGACAAATTGAGTACGCTGCTATACCGGGAAATTGTCTTGCGGTCTTTGGGAAGACCCCTGTTTTCCCCTCTGTCTTATCCGGGGTCCTGGCCCTCCGAGGCACCACCTCGGTGGTGGAGATGTCATCCTTGTGTGACAGGTGAGGACTGAGCGCTCAGAGAGGGGAAGCGAGAGCCTCGGGTGGGCAAAGCTGGAATTTAAACCCAAGCCTCCCTGGCTCTCCCTAGATCACACTGCAAATCACAGCATCTTAAGGCTGGAAGGGAATTCAGAGGTAACAATGTAAATCATTTATTGTAGAGAAGAGAAAATTGAAGTTTTGAAAGAGTATTGGTCCATGCTGTGTAGGTGAATTTATTTTAAATGTTTAAAGGGACTGTAAATCCTAACGTTCCCAGTCATGACATGAGATTCGCAGAGTGTACAGAGGACTGGATCTTGTCATTTTTCCGCGGTGTCTCGGTCAGCGTTGTGGGTGGTGTGGCGCAGGTGTCTCTCCACAGCGGTGGGACAGGGTCACTCCATCAGTGCTGTCCCGGGCCCTGCGTGCACAGCATTCACACTGGGCCCTGGACACTGCTGCCCCCATGGTCACTAGGCCAAGAACATGCAGCGTCCGGTGCCAGACAACAGCATGCAGAGCGCTGTCCAGTTGGGCAGATCGCCGAGGGGATGAAGGCGGCTCTGGAGCCCAGGCCTGGTTGCTTTTTCATCTGCAGCAGCCTGTTTGGGTTTTCTTCCCCCTGATGCTCTGCTTCTAAGCTGCCAGGGACATTAACTGATTTTCAGGGTTGATTTCAAGCAGCATGAATGAATTAGAACGATTTCTTTGGAAAGTATTATCTTAAATAGCACCGCATTTATCTTTTAATCCACAATCAAAGTATATGTTACTGTTTCAAATTCCACATCTTTAAACTCCTAAATGGTTGTGTTTGTCTTCACTTCAATGTTAAATGCCAAGTTCAAAAAGATCCTGCTTCCATGAGCCTCTGACTCTCCCATCTGACGCAGCGCTCAGTGTGCTTTCTGGAGTCTTTGTGTCAGTTGAATGTGTAGCTGCTTTTACTTTACATGCGGCCCGCCCTGGGGACAGGACATTGCGTGTGTACAGCCACCTCCATGTCATGGGTGGCCCTGCAGTGTCACTCGGCCCCCTCAGACCTCTCAGGGCAGCACCCTGACAAATCTCATGGGGATTTGATTCTCTGTGACTGTCTGAAGCTCGGGGTATCCCACAGCTGCACCAAGCGTTGGCTCACTAAGCAGTGCAGATTCCACCCAGCATTTGGGCGAGCGCCTAAAAGGAGCCGCTGCAGTGGGTGCTGAGTTTTAGGTCCTCCAGACTGTGTCAGAGAGACCTGCGTGGGGGGCTCTCCCACCATGGGCTACATACCCCCGGGCATCCCTGGGACTCAGCAGCCACAGGCTCACAAGGAGGAAGCCACCTCCATAATGATATTAGGGTGTCACTGGCTTGCAGCAGTGTTGGCAGGTGTTCCCAGTGGAGCAGACCACCAGCACCCTGGCGGGACATAGGGCAAGGGCGCAAACCCTGCTAGAGTCCCTACTCTGTGAAGAAAGGAGAGCTGGGATCAGTTAAAAGGATCCTTGATGAAGCAGTAAGTCATATTTGGTGGTTGTGCATTGCTGTTTGTTGAGCTGGCGTCACTAGGTTGGCCGGCCAGTCCTGAGCTCCTGAGTTCTGGGGATCCTCCGCCTTGGCAAACAGTGTTAGCTTTACTACCCTCTAGCCCCTGAGGGGCTGTTTCTAAGATCTGGCATGAGGTGGAAAGCACGTGCAGTCGCTTCTGCATAGCACGGTGCCACAGTTGGCCCAAAGAATCTCTAGTGTGATTGTTTTAGGTGGGAACTGAACGAGCCTTCTTTTTTCCTTCATGGAGTATAGCTGTTGCTTACCTGAGTGATCAAAAGACAAGCTGCCGTGATGCAAAATTCAGTTTGGGGAAGATACTGACTTTAAAATTCATGAAATGAGTCAGCACATCAAGGAAAACATCAGACGGTGTGCAATGTTCAGAGTATTTTCTGGTGGAAACAAGATAGACATTTCCCACCACTGCACACGCTGACCATGACACACACTGACCTTGACATACACACTCCATATTCCACACGCTGCAGCTGAACCCCGAGCCCAGGCAGAACTCACTACTCAGGGCCAGGGGGGCTTCTGCTTGTGGTCCCTCACCCTAAAGCAAGCTGCTTGGAGCCAGGATGTCGAGGCAGGAGCCTGGTACCTACCTTTATCTCCTCTGTAGAGTTGGGAGCCCTCAGTGTGTAGACCCCACTGGTGGTGTGCCCGGCCTTGAACACAGCAGCACAATCTCTGAAAATGATCTGTTCTTCTTTAGCAACAGTGGGATTCTTAGCTGTGTTAAAAGACAGTAAGGCATTTGAATGGATTCATGAGGAAAGTTTGTTCAAGACCGTTATTTGGTGAGCTTAATACATTTGAATTCTTATAATAAGCAAAAGGATATGCCAGTATTTTCTTCTTTCCTAAAAAGTTACATTTTCAGTCTGTTTTCTTATGATTAATTGATTCTTACAAATAAGCCATGCTTCCTTTTTTATCGTCGGTTATGTGTAATCCAAGTACTTCACAAGCAACAAAATAAACTATTGCTTTTTAAGTTTCCCATCATCTAGTAGAATGATCACGTGAACTTCCTACGGAAAACTAAACAGAGGACGCACCCAAAAACAGTATGACCCCCACCCTGCCTCCACGGCAGGTCCCTTTAGGTTACTATCCCCTGGAGCCATCAGATGCATTTTTTCCTGTCTTTTTATATATCTGAGACTAAGGCTTTAATTTATTTAGAATATTGGGTGGACCCATTTCATATTCTTTGGATTTTTAACAGCTGTCCCATACGTTTGCACTTTAGAAGAGCATGATAGTTATTTACCTTTGTGTTGTAAATTCTCCTTCTAAGTCTAAAATTTCTAGGGCTGTAAAATCCCTTCAGGTTTTAATACCCCTGTTAACATTTGGGTTTCCTCTTCCTTTTTGCCACATTGAAAGTGTGTGTATGTGTCTATGTGTGTGTGTGTGTGTGTGTGTGTGTCTGTGTATCTGTGCATGTGTCCTTACGTCTCAGCTGTGCTGGGGAGCCCTGCAGAGCCGAGCGGCTGGCACGGTGGGCGTCACTGGCAGGCACAGCGCCTCTCCACCCTGATGGGGCCAAGTGGCAGGGGGACGACTACTCTGCCGCTCCTTTCCACATGCCCCTTGTTTCCTGCCAGCCTGTGAGCTGCAAGGTTTTCTCTACCCCAGCTCATCGATGCCGATGGCTCACACTGTCTTGACCCAGCAGTGTCAGATATTTACCTTTCTTGTTTCTGCGAATGTAGGGGGAAAAAAGGCCTTTTCTACACCATGAGGGAGTGAGCCCCTCGCTGGAAAGCACGCAGTGCACACAGCACCCCAGACTGCTTCGCGCGGTGTCAAGACTGCGACTGTGGCTGTGTGTGTGTTTGCTGGAGAAAGTCCTTCGACCAGGTTTCTATTAAAGTGGAGGTGACTGCACAACCCTAGGAGAACACTTTCTATGGGAGTGAAAACCATGTGATTCACATGTATGAATCCCCGAGACTCCCAGGCAGAGCACATCTGTGTCCAAGGGGTTAAAATGTAAAGGTGCCTGGGAAATAAACCATAGCAGAACTAGGCCAAACTTGCTTAGGGGAAAGACCAGAAGTGCCACAAGGCTACGCAGTGCATCCTTAGTTAGTGACTGCCTAGTCCCCCTTCCCTCCAGTATCTAGGAGAAGCTGGAAGGTAAAGCAGTGAGGAAGAAGGCAAGCCATGTCTAAGGACGTGGTGAGAGGAGGAACTAATGCCCCCGCGGGCCAGTGCCTGAGAGTGTCACCTCCTTTCATGTCCACAGCCGTCCTACGCGCCGGGGGTGTTTCTCCAGTTGAGAAGGAAAGAACGGACCTGCTAAGGCTTAGTAACGGTTAGCCTCCTCCATCCCCTGGAGATGGAGCCAACACACAGGAGGCTCTTCACAGCCTGAGCCCAAGGTACACTCGGCAGTACATTCAGCAGCCGTTGGCTGGCTCTCAGTGCCCTCCCCCTTCACGCCTCCTCCTTTCTGCTTGGTTCCGGTGCAGTCCTATAGAGCTTTCAGAGGAAATGTGAGAGAAGTAGTGCCTTTTCTGAAAGGTGACTGTTAGAATTTTGACAGGTTATTAAAACTGAAGAAAACGTAAACTGCACTTACAGTTCGGTGTTCCTATCATCGTCATTAAATTATGGACAGTCTCCATCAGGTCCAGTTGCTGCTTGTGCAGGGTTGAGGTGTTCGCGGTGGCAGTGACTAATTGCTTCTGCAGCTCCTTGATGATGGAGTTTTGCTTGGACACCAACACCTGGAGCTCCGCCTTCTCCTCCTTCATGGACTGCAGCTGCACCGAGTGCTTGTCCTCCATGTCCAGCACTTTCTGCTCCAGGACACTTGCGGGAAATGCTCGTCAGTTAGTGGAGGGAGCGCTAAGACCTGACGGCAGCCCGAGCCCGCGCCCCTTCAACACCGAATCACTGTCACTGTTCTGATGCAACTGCTTGAATGTGTTGCATTGCTGTTCTGCCAAGGCACTCTGTTAAGATGTAATAGGAGTTATAATGTCACGGCGCTAAAGAGTCTCTCATACTTGCCATGAGATAGAGCTATGTACATAATTAGATAGATAGATAGATAGATAGATAGATAGATAGATAGATAGGATATTCTGGGCCATGGCAAGGGAACGTGAGGCTTACAAGCGTTCAGTGCTATAAGAGTTCAGAAGAAAGTCCTGTTATTTCAAATTGCAGTGCACTGAGAAAGGAAAATTTCAGGTGGGCCTTTAGGTAGTAGTTTACCCTTCTCCTATACTGCTTACAGATTAGTATTATTTATAATGATAACAATAACTGCTAATCTTTTAATACTATATGGCAACAACTCCAGGAAGGAGCTGAATACTTGGCACAGCTTGAAATCCTAATTTACTGCTCCTATGCCTTTTGACTGGGTCATTTATAATATCTAATCACTCTAGCATTAGTTTCCTCATTTGCAGCCCAGGGATAATAGACCTACTTTATGGACTGGTCTGGGGAATAAATGTGTTTAGAAATGGAAGTCAGCTGTTTCTTGACATATAGTGACAGTACCTGCCAAATACTACTAGTATCAACGTTATTACCCGTTTTCAGTGAGTAAGGTGAATGAAATGTAGACACAATAAATCACGTACCTGAAGTCACACAGAAGTAGACTGGGCAGAATTCAAACCCAGGTCTTTCTGAATCTGAAGTCTGCCTTTCTCTTTCTTTTAATATGGACCCTTTTTTCTCTAAGCAGTTTTGCCAGCACTGTCTCATATAATTAATACTCAACAGTAAATGTGGACAAACCGCTTGAAAAGCTTCCTAAAAATTCTTTTTATAGTGATAAAGTTATACCATAAAAGTTCCAAAAGATTTCATTAATAGTTATGTAGTTTGTCTTTGTAATCTCAATTTATGAAGATATGTTTCTCTACATATGTTCTGCTAGGAATGTGCTAGTCTTAAATTAGAAGTAGTTCCTATCCACTGAACTAGAGAAAACGATTCCAAGTGAGTAGTCTGTGTAAATGTGAAATGTTTACTAATGTGAAAACTCCCCAGGAGCAGACTCAAAGACATCACAAGAAAGCTCTTTGGCTCTTTTCTTTGAGTAAGATACAAGAATCTGGTACACAGCGGTGCATCTTGTCTTCTTATTTAGTCACTGCATTATTCAGTACTTTTGAGGTTTCTGATAACTGCAGCAAAAATAGCAGTCTGAAGCCCTTCAAGATCTCTCTGTGCAAGATCAGTAAGTAAAGCTTTCAAGACTGAGCCACTTTTATAAATGGTCAGATGATGAACCACACATGGGATCCCGTCTCTGACGCCCCCCCCACCCTGGTATAACATTCAGTAGAAGTGAATTTGCTCACCAGAGTTCAGTTTTAAAAGAAGGGGACCTCTGTAGGATCTCTCTTAAATCATGGGGTACATTAATGCTGACGTCTCTGTTTCAGGGTTATTTTGAGGCCATTAGCAGGTTGACATGGCGCCTGTGACTGTCACGTAGGAGCTGGTGAGATATTCCTCATGAGCTATTTAGGACTCTGGGGGAACACCTCAAGAAAAGAGAACAACTAATCTCTCTGCTTGTTTAACGAAGACGGCTCGATGCAGGTGTTTGATCCTGTTGTGAGTTGCTGAAAGGTGCCTGACTTCCTGTGCCCTCCACGGGGAGCGGAAGTACGTGAAATTTGCACCCACATGTCTCCCAGTGGTCCAGGCCACACATCATCCAGTCCGGACCTCAGCCTGCCCCCACTTGGTACATAATTCTCCTCACAGAGCTGTTCTGCACCCCTCTGTGCAAGGCGCTTTCTGGGATTTGGAGAGTCTCAAGACACTGCACCTGAATGCCTCTGGGAGCTTCACTCTGCCAAGTTGATGCATGAAGTGAGCTCTGTCTGCACTAGAGAAAATGCCCCCACGGGGCTCTGAGGTCCACAGTGCAAGGAGAGAGGGAGGGAGAGTGTTGGGCTGAGAACCCTTGGTCCAGGCACAGCTGTGTGTCACCTGGGCAGCTTCCCCCCACCTCCACAGATGTCAGGCACAGCTGTGTGTCACAGCTCCCCCTCCTGCCCCCACAGATGTGAGGCACAGCTGTGTGTCACCTGGGCAGTGCCCCATCCCACCCCCAGATGTCAAGTACCAACCTAACTAAGCAAGTGCTGGTCTCTGCTCCCCAGGTACATCTCTACCTAAAGCGAAGGTGCTAGATTCAGTGGTCTCTGGGGGCCCTTCCGGTTCAGTTACTCCATGCATCTGTTGTGTCGTTTTGGGGCAGTAATATCTTCTGAACCTTTAAGTTCACAAACCACCCCAACCCTCCAAGAGACTAGACTGCAAGTAATAATAAGTAGTAACAGACAAGTAATGATAACCATAAGTAACAATAACTTGTCCATAACTAGTGCTAATTATCCTTACTAGAAGTTGAACTACAGCCCTTAAGTTAATGCCAGTCCTCTGGTCACTGCGAATCACCGCAAGGGCACATGTGCTGGCAGAATGCTGAGTCCACAATCCCTGGCTGTCGTTAGTTATTTTCACTAGATGTCATCAGCTTTTCCATATCCTTTTTCAGCTTTTGTTTCTAATGCTTTTTTTGATGCCAGCTAACTTATTTTAAAAGAGAACGGTATAGTGCTTTCATTAATTTAGAAACGAAGGTGATGTACCATAAGAAGCAGGTAATCTGAAAGTAAGTGCATAAGTTTTTTCCTGCTCTCCACCTAAAATCAGTCTCAGTGCCACCAGCACGTAGGCAGTGCACTTCGGGAAGTACTGCCGCAGGCTTGACCTGGAGGGGCCGCACAGAATACACGGGACACCTGAAGGTGCCGGCGTTCTGAGATCTGCAGTCCAGCCCTCTTTTGCTGTTTTTAATCATCTGTGCGAGAGAGCGTGGAGGTGAGGTGTAACAGTCACACAGTCCAGAGTACGGGCTGGCACGCAGCGCTGTGGGGCAGACAGTTAAGAAATGGCTACTTTTGTTCCTTCCTCCTGAACCTTTAACTATGCGGCTCCAGCGGGCGGTCGTATACCAGTGTAATAGCGCTTGCTTTAGGGTTAAACATAAGCATGCATTTCAGACTGAAGCCAGCATCGGCTCATACCAGCCCAGACCGAGAGCAGCGAAGCTAATGAATTAACAGGCAGATCACTGCGTTTTACAACTGTCAGGGATCCTGTTAGAGAGCAGCATTTTACATATCAGGACCCATTAGCGGCCTGTTACATCAGTTTAGTGAGTTGCAGCTGGCATTTTCTTAATGGAGTGGTAGAAAACCAGCACGGCAGGGGCTTTGCACATGGCAGCGAATCCTGTGGCCAGTACTGATGAGTGCTGAAGGAGGGTGTGGAGCAAGTGTGCAGCCTGACATTCATTCACTGCCCTCTTCTCTGACTTTCCGACACAGGATGGTCTGCTAGATTGTCCCCATGAAGTTGGGCTTCGGCACAGCTTCGTTTTACATCAGTATAACTCAGGCTTAATTGGGAACTGTGGGCAAGAATTCTGTTGGCAGAAACATCAAGACTCTGAATCACATTTGTTATGCTTCGGATATGGTTTGTGTCCAACAGAGGTTCATGTGTTGGAAGGTCCTGCGTGGCAGCGTGGGAGCCATGTAAAAGATGGGCCCTGGGGGTGCCCCTCAGCGTGGGGGAGCTGCCCTGGCAGGGATTAAAGGAACGCTCATGGGACACCTGGGCTCTCACCAGAGCAGTTGCTAAGAAGCAAGCCCATCCCTGAGTCATGTCTGGCTCTGCCTGTTGGGGATGTGACCACTTCCTGCTATTCTGGTCCCATTTGCAGTTAAGCCCTCCACTGGGGCTGAACCAGTGGGGCTGCTTCCTCTTGGACTTTTAGCTTCCAAAACTGTGAGCTAAATAAACTTCTGTACCTTGGAAAGTGAGTCTGGCTTGGGCATTTTATTATAGTCACTTTCCCTCCCTCCCTCTCTCTCTCTCTCTCTCTCTCTCTTTCTCTCTCTCTCTCTCTCTCTCTCTCTCTCTCACACACACACACACACACTCTACACCAGTGGTGTTTCTTTTGAGTTTCACTGCATTTCTCGATAAGGGAATGGTGTCTCTGGCATTATGCTCCCAGACCGGAGCAGTTTGACTGAGTTGTACACATAGCCCTATAGTAATAGTTTATTTTTAGAAGAACAAAAGAATAATGAGGTTATTTTCATAGTTTTCAATTTCAGCTGGTGAATCTAAAAGTGTAAGAATGGTAATTTTGAAAGAAATGTTGCCCCTGGTAAATATCATCCCTTCATTTGAACCTGTTCTGTAAAGATAGCAATTTTACCTTCAGGGAATGAGTGAACTAGGTTTTGTCAAATGTGGAGCACCATGTGCGCATTTTTACAATGATATTCTTGCAAAATGTCTTGGACCAGTGAAAATTTAAGGTAGAAAATACTCATTGGAAAGATGTAAAATCATCCATACAATTTCATGTTTACTTTTATAGTTATTTCATTGCGTATTTTCAGCAGAAAGGAAGAATATGACTGTGGCTCCTAGGAGCTTGTTCCTCCTTTCTGTGTAGATTGCTCGATGGAGGGTTGTGTGGGGAGTTGGTGGAGAGCAGCAGCACCTCCTGCTACTGTGCTGGGGCACTCGGCCCCACTCTGCACTGAGGTTGCAGGCCAGCTGGAGACTGGTTGCAAGTCACATACAATTGTAGCTTTGTGAGATGTGCTTGACAAGGTACTTTTCATAGGGAAAGTGCTGTAACATCTGAGTTTCACCTCACATGAAACTATATTTATTATTGGAGAAGTGCACTATCGATCCATGTAAATCAAACTAAGGGGGAAAGTGAGGAATCATGTAAGCAAGAAAGACCAGAAAACATGGCAAGCTACAGTGGGAGTGGATCATTCTTCTCTGCTTTGTAAAAGCTTGACATCAAAGAAATTTCACCGAATCACGAGATGACCAAGAAAACTATGAGAGTTGTTGATTGTATTTCAGAGCTGCTCATTGAGGAGCTGACTTTATGCAACATAAAGTCTAGCTTGTTCTGAGCATTGAGTCTAAAGAATAAGATGCACACTTTTCTGTGTAAAAGCTGGTGCGATTTGACAAATACAGTCAGTCCTCTGAATCCATAGGTTCTACATTTGAGGATCGACCAACCTTGGATCGAAAATATTTGGGGGAAAATGACATCAGTAGTAAACATGCACAGATTTTTATTTTCTTGCCATTATTCCCTAAACAAGGCCATCTAGCAAACACTTACATTGCATTTATATCAGGTACGATAAATAATGTTAATGCAACTGGACACTCAGGAGGATGTATATAGGTCCTATGTAGATACAGTGCTGTTCTATGTTTGTTTGTTTATGAGGGACTTGAGTGCACATAGCTGTTGCTATCCAGGGTCTCCTGTGGGTACTAAAGGACAACAGAATTTACGAAGATGGCTCTGGGTGATACAGTGAGCATATTCAACTGATGTAAGTTTATCATTATAGCATACTAAGTTTGAAACCTGTGGGAGAAAGTGTTCAGGACTAGACCATGCTCAACAGGCATTGTGTCCCAGGCTCTGGGCAGCATTACTGTTACACAAGAAAACTAAGAACCAGCTGAACACGTCCCTAACATTAGAGCAAAGTGAAATTAGCAAGACTGTTACATTTCCATTATTGGTTTCAAACCTTTATTTCCTCCTGTGCAGAAGAGAAACTTGAAACACAAAAGAAAAATATCTGAAGAAGAAAAATCTCTTTGTTTTTCAAAACCCTAAATCAGTAACGAGTTCAACTTGGTACCCAAAGAACGGAACGAATTCCTGTATTGTACTTTAGTTCTTGACTAACAGTAAAGAATGATGAGACAATGCGGTCATCACTTCTGGTAGGACTGAAAGTATTTAAGTTGTGAAATGGAAAGGATGTGTTGTGCCATTCTCCAAATGTGTGTCTTGTGTAAAAAAAAGGAAATGAGCACAGCGTGTATGCGTGTAAGTCACTCTCGCGTGTCTGTCCCTGGCCAGAGCAAGCCTATGAAGACAGTGCCTACCTGGCACCGGAAATTTTTGTTTTTGTGTTGTTGATCATGACTTCTCTTCCTGTGTTTTATCTGAATATTAATGCCATCATACTTAACGTTAACTTTTTTACTTTATCCACTTTAAGAGGAAGCAGTGCATTATGAAATGAATACTGACTTACAAGTATAATTTTCCTACTGCAGACCATCTTAAATTGGAAGAACCTAAGCTCTAAAGGCAAAGAAACTTGGTAAAGTTAGAATTAGAATGTCTAGGCCAGTGTCACTTACTTCACAGAACTAGCACTTTTTTTTTATACATTAACATGCATAACGCTTGGGTAGTTCGGAGGATTACTGTACAACCATCTTTAAGGGACCAAAGAATGAAAAACAGTATCGAGGACCATCTTAGACTTCTTTGTTCAGAATTTTTCTACAAAGGCTTTCCCTCTACCTTCCTCCAAGGTTTCCAACATGTATACAGTGCATGAAGAATTCATTATCTGGAAACCATGCTTATAATTAAGTCACACGAGAGAGGCTTTTATCTCTGGAAGGTATACAGTTTCTGAATTACAAAGATTTGTGCAGTGTAATTACCTGTTTTTATCTTGTAACTTGCTTATTTCACTGGTCTGATCCAAAATCTGTTTTTCTAGCTTGTTTGTAGAAAGGGAGTGTTCCAGAAGCTGAAGTTCAAGTCTTGTTGTTTGATTTAATACCTACATGGAACAAGATAAAATTCCAGATTATCATTTTAATACATTTAATTTTATACCCTCCTTTTAATTCAATTTTCCACATTGTTGAAAAACATAACACATTATTAACTCAAATGTCCTATTTTGGCACGGTTTTTATTTTCAGAAAAGGCTTAGAATCTTGGCTAACACTCAAGTGTGTTAAACTTTTTTCACCCTGTTTTTATTTTAGAAAGTGGTTCATCGTTCTGGAAAATGGTTTGTGTGAAATAGTATAATATTTTCTCTAGTTGCCATATTTTATCACTTCACCCACGAGACAAATGGGAGTATAAAATGATTCTGTTTCATAGATCAAAATTTGTTGATAAAGTAAAAATATTTTCCCTCTGCTGAGATGCATTGCTGGTTCTCGTATTTACTTGTTTGTCAGTAGACTAAGGATAAAAAACTACATGCCTCCCTTATATAAAAATGTAGCTCATTTTTAGCCTGGCATTTCCTAGTTTGTAACCGCATGTTTAGCCTTTTATTAATTTTTTTTTCCCCATTTTAAAAGTCTTTTCAACCAATTAGGAAACAATAAAAAGTCAATGCAAAGTGGAAACGCAGCCTGGCTTGCGGGCCTCTGCGCTGTGACGTGTGCAGTAGCGCTTTCCCCATTGTATTCGCACAGCCTGGAAGACAGGGGCTTGGGTGTTGGGCTGACTTTTCGCAGGAAGGATCATTACTCACTTCCTCCCTGTCATGCTGATTTAGGATGTGATATCACGTGTACGCGGAAGTCAGAGTTAGTGCCAAAGAACCGGGGTCCTTGAAAGAGTCATTGTTTGCTGGGCGTCGCTGTCACTGGCAGGGCCCCGACCTGGCCCGAGGTGCAGGTCTCACGCCTGCCTGGTCCCAAGTCCCCACTGGCCGAGTTCTAGGCCGCGAGCGTCTCTGTCCGTGAGGAAACGCCGTGGCCAGCACTGGGGTTGGCACTGGAGTACAGACCTGGCCTGCGTCTGCTTTGGTGCAAATATTCTGTGTCGGTTATTTCTCAAAGGGGTTGGAAAATCAAACTTCTAATTAATGCGTAAGTATAAAATGAGGACAGTTTAGGAGAGAGGCAGAGGGGGGTGGTGGACAGGTCCTGCGTGAGCTCGGGTGACTGCAGAGTCCTCAGGTCACTTTTCTGAAGGTCACTTGGCCGACCTGTGCTCAAGGCCATGGTCTGCTGGTGACTAAGTTATGCAGTTCCTGGATTCTTGTTTTCATGATCTGCCTCGGACTCCAGCCGCATAGCAGTGCCCAGTTTAACAGCCTCCCACTCTGACGGGCTGAAGAATCTTGCTCCTGAGCAGAAATCTCCACCTTTGACATGAAGGCAATTTCACAGCCCGTAACTGTTCGGCAGCTGGCCCCTAGTGCACTGGGCACATAGCTCAGCCTCTTTTCTTTGTTAGTATGCCTGTGGGAAGTACGACTGTGTGCCTTCGCTGTGTGGGGCATGCACACACACCCCCCTCAACCCTTTTCACTTCCTTTTCCTCCCGCCCTATCCTCCCCTCGTGCAGGTCCCTTCCCATCCCCACTAAGCCTCTGTCTCTATCATCTGCCTTGCATTTCTCGGTCTCATGATGTCCTTTGTCACTCAGCCATGTCCGTGTGTCTCGTCGGACAGTGTAGAATGTTTCCTTTCTACCCGTTTTCCTATTTTCCTGTTAGGATCCTATGATACTTAATTTCACAATGAGCTTTTGTTAAAATCATGTGACCCAACAAAAGTACTTACACGGGTGGGGTAAAGGCTTCCATGGTTGTTCTAAGGCTTAACACTTTTTAGTTACTATTACATGAAAACAGAAGACGTGTTGATATTTATGGGACATCTTTGAATGAGTGTGATTTCCAGCCAGTTTCACTGTCCACTTAGCCATTGCTAACTTATTTTACTAACTGACTATGGATACACAGATATACTTACTCTAAATTGCATCTTTTCATTTTTAGCTTTTATTACAAATAAGACAAATTTTAATACCTGTGATCCACTATATGCATACATTGTTTCTAAACTCTTCTGGTGTTATTGACAGATGTAGTAATCAAATCATTCCTGTTGTTTCCTGTTGTAAAAATCTTTTATTCTTTACCACTTTCCTTCTGCTTTCTGCGCCCAAGAGTGGTCTTAGAGACACACTGAAAGGACATATGTCCCGCTCTAGACCTGTGATCTCTGTGGCCTTGTGCACCTGGCCGCACCCAGCACGCTTGGCCTTTCAGATGGCGCGGCGTGCAAGAATAGGAGGAGGAGGGAGAGTTTACAGCTGATCACTACTTCTTTGAAGTATTACTTACACTTCAGAGAAGGAGGACTGCAACTCCCTAAGCCCACAGAGGAGCTGGGACCGGGAATGAGAAACAGACTGCCTGAGGGCCAACTCCGCAGGCTGCGCGCCGAGCATCTCTGCTTATTCTGCCGGCAGCGCTTTGTCCTCCTCCCCTGCGCTGTCCTCGCAGTCACAAGCTGTGTGTTGTTCAGCTTAACTCCAGATGCTTTGTTTTGTTTTGTTTTTACTATTTTGATATTTTCGTGTTTCGCTGCCATGCTAATATTTTCATATTCCGTATTCTCTTGTCTGCTGCCATTAAGCAGTAGTCACAGAATCTTAATGCAGAGAGAGAACTCAGGCCTGCGTGCGCTGGCCCAGAACCTGTCATCATGAGCACCGGAGGCCGGCAGAGGCGGGGGCGGCAGTGAGCCAGGCGAGCGCGGGCTCTGGCTCGTGTTCTACTGTGTGCGCAGCCTGCCGCGCCCACTGGTGCACTGGTTATTGTTGGTGACTTAGGTTTTCCCTCGGTTCTAGAGCTGGACTTCAGAGTGAAGTTCCTAGTGCTCTGCCTCAGTGATTTTCGTTTCCCAAATGCACAAAAAGTTGAGGGTTTGGAAATGAGTCCAGGAAAGAGCTGCGAGGCGAAGGAGCTCTGATCATGTAGTGGTGACTTGATGTCCTTAAGGGAGTAGGTGCAGCTCAGCGTTCCCGTTAAAGCCACGTTCCCCGACGGCATCCATCACTCCCACAGACTCTCGATCGCTTACGAATTCCTTTCCTCCCCGCTCGTGATAGCCTTAGTTGTACCTTATCCCACCACACGACCTCAGGACACAGCCCTGCGAAGCTGGCGCGACCGCCTGCGCTCGTTACTCACCTGGGCTTCCACGTCCGTTAACTTCCGCGTCTGCTCTGCCGTCTGGTTCAGGAGGCTCGTCCCTATCTCTATCATTGCGGCTGTCTGGTTCTGCACGGCGTTCTGCTGGAGCTCTGCCATCTGCTTCTTCATGTTGTCCTGGACGTAGCTCTCGAGCTGGGAAAGAGTGGTGTAGGGAGGCAGGCGTTAGTCCCGTGACGAGGGGCCTGACTCCTAAGCATTGGCCATCTTTTCCTTCTTGCAAAAACGCTACTTAAAAACCTATGTCTTGCCATAGATTTGAAATTTTTCCATTTCTTAGCATAAGCAGTAAACTTCAGTGCTATTTTTACCCCACATCTGGCCACTTAGGAGCTTTGTGTGTAGGAGAGACAAGTCCCATGTGGTCTCTGTGTCTCTAAAAGTGACACCAGGGATGGTCACGCCGCCCCAGGCAGCAGGGCAGGCGGTGGGAAGGACACACGGTGGGCAGGTTTGATCCCGTGTCTGTGTGCCCCGCCGGCTCAGCCCCGCTACGCAGGAGATGGACCCTGGGAGTGTGAAGGCTCGAAGGTGGGGTGAGGGGAGCAGTGCCCGGAACCTTCCTCTCCGTCCCGGCCCGGCACTGGGCCCTCCCTTCTCACTGAGGTCACGGGGCTGGTTAATCCTTCTAAGGTTTCGGCTCCCCTGGAGTTAGCCTTCTGTAGATCCACCCACCCTAACCCTGCCTGGGTCCACTCCTCACCTCACAGACCCTGAGGAACGAGGACAAGGCAGCTGCCGTGATGTGGGTGCACTGTGTCCCCCCCGGTCACGGGTGCTGGGCCTCCTCATCTACGGGTACTGAGAGGTGTCAGGACCTTTAAGAGGGAGTTCTGGTGGCTTAGGGCTCCAGGGCCCCTCCGTGGTGCCGCTGATGGGGTCTGTGTGGGTTGGTGTTAGAGGGTCCGAGGATCAGGCCTGGCGCTGTCACTGCTGGTGCCGTTGCTTGCTCCCTGCCAATTCCCCGCTGCTGCTCCCCTCCGCCGTTTCCAGCTGTCCTCATAGTGGTGGTCACTCTTTGGTGACCGTCCTGTGGTTCTGAGGCAGCCCAGACCACTGTGAAGCATGACAATCCCTAGAGCTCCATTTGTGGAATTATGCAGTTGAACCATTTGCTACGCTACGTGAATCAAAATAGATGAAACCCTATAAAAGCCCAAGTGCTGTTATTTCAAAGTCTTAGCAGCCATCCCTTCTGGTATAGTCTCCCTAAAGCTTGAAGAATCTGACACCCTATCACTGTTTATCATGATTAGATCAGGCTTTTTAGTATCTGTGATCTTAATGCGTTCGTCCCTTCTTTCTTTGGCTTTACCTTCTGACAAATTGTAAATGTTACAGTTGAAATCACTGTTTAAAAGAATCCATAGCCGTTTGTAACCCTTACCACCCCACTGCCATCACCATGGGAGAAGCGGGATTTCTGAGGTTAAAGCTACAGCTATGTCATCTAGAGGAATTGTCTTAGTTACTCTTAACAGCCAGCAAAGATAATATTTAGAAATATTTATTCTGGGAAGTTTGGAACTATAAAGGTCTACTCAAGTTGTAGTTAAGTTTAAATCCGTACACAGAAATAATAATTTACAAAGTAATATAAACAAAAATCATAACCTTTGTTTTGATTTCAGTACTTAAGAGCTAAATGAAAGTGAGTCTGTCTTTTCTCATTCCGAATCACATAACTAGAGGAGAAAAATAAATCCTTTAATACCTCCTTCCCACTTTTCAAGCTACTGGGTCAAATGTGGTTACAGCTGTCAAGAGACGTGAGAGGAGTGTTTATCATTTGAAAATTTAAAGTCAAGTTCCAATTTAAAATTAGAATTGGGAACATTAAAAGACATTCAGCCCAATTTTTTTTTTGTTGTTTTTTTTTCCGGTACCGGAATCGAACTCAGGACCTTGTGCTTGCCAGGCAGGCACTGTGCCGCTGAGCTAAATCCCCAGCCCCTCAGCCTAATTTTTAAAAATAAAATTTAACTTTGTTTTCTAAGCCTGAAAGCAATCCATTGTCAAAATGTTTTCAGATCACTGCTGGTCAGCCATTCAGGATGACTCTGTGTGTGTGTGTGTGTGTGTGTGTGTGTGTGTGTGTGTGTGTGTGTGTGTGGTTTATTTTACACTGAAGCAAATTAAACATGCATGTACATGTGTGATGTGTCTTACAGCGATACCGTACATATAGCATATATGTGGACAGTATCAGTGCACAATATGTACAATTTTTGAAGACATGTTATTTAAATAAAGTAAAAGTTCTGTGTGACACTGGCCCAACTGCTGATGGATGGAAGTCTTTGAGAGAAAGGTGGAACAGAAGCAGAAGCATCAAGTAGCAGACATGTTTCCTTGCTCTAAAAAGCCTGTTCTTGTCCTTGGGTGGTGGAACTAATGTTCTGAGAGACAGTGTGACCTGACAGTGGTTGCTCTTTAAGAAGAAGAAAGAATACATTCATTCTTCAGAAACACCTACACCCACTCTGCCCTCTGCAGATGTGGCCCGTCCTTGCCCTCCACACTTAGTGCTCTGATCGGAAACAGCTCCCAGACGCTGAGCCCTGGTCTCTCCGGTTCCCGTGTGCAGGTGCACACTCACTCATCACAGGAGCGTTTGACATCCCCTTCCTGACGGTGCGGGGACTGTGACTTGTGGTCACAGGGCCTCTGAGAGGGCCCCTCCGCAGTGCCAGAGGACACATGCACGCGTTACAGCCTCTTCTGACACCGTAAGCTCTCAGTGTGTGGAGCTTTGAGCTGTTCTCAGGTGGCAAACAAATTACCCAAATTTAACCCTGTAGGGTTGTCGCTGCCTAGATCCTTGCTAGGTGCTGTTTGATTTGCTGGAAAAGAGCTGCACCCCGAGCAGTCTCCAACGCTTGGCCATACAGCAGAGCTCTAACAACCAGAATAAGATATTTGAAAAGCACGTAGGTGTGTGTGGACATGTACGTATGTAATAAATGTACCTCAGTTCACAAACATGCACAAGTTAGTTCGCAAACAGAAGCATTTGGCAAAGTTTTGCTCTCATTCACAAACTGCACGGAGCGATGAACACGACCTTTCGTGTTCATCCAGCCACCTTTCTGTACGAGCGTGGCCACGACCGTTTACCCAGAGTCGCATAACAAATTCAGTTTGTGAACCGAGGCACTACTGTGTATGTGTCATATAAAATATGCACTGCAGTCTGTAAATACGGACATAAAATACTCTGGGGTTTTTATTATTCCCATAACATTTTGAATAATCAAAATAAGTCCATTCTTGAGACCACTGTGCCAGTGAGTACACCTTAAAGTGCTTCTCTGGCTCTCTCCCTTCACACTATAACGATCACCCGTATTTTTCATACAAAAGAAAAGTCTCCTGTAATTGGCTCAGGAGAGGAGGACACAGCATGTGTGAAAAATGTCCCCAGCTTGGGACTGAGGCTGGTCTTGCACCAAGTGTAGATGCTGGTCAAGAGATCATTTCTATTTAAATAAAGCTAGTGTCCTCACCCCTTTCTTTAATTAGTTTTTGTCCATCTGCGGAAACTAATTTTCCTAGAAAAGTAACAAATAGTTTGAGGTTTCCTTGGAAACATTTCTCTCTAGTGTTTCAGTTATAAATAAGATGTTGCAAGTGCTAGGTCTCTCTCGCACTCACACAGCACACAGGAGACATTTTTCTACCTCTGTGGCCTCCCCCGCTCCCCCTTCCTCCTGCCACCCCTGGGTCTGGGTCCTGATGCAGCCCCCACCCTCCTGCTGCCTGCACTTCAGAGTCAGGAGCCAAAGCAAATTTAACCACTCTGCCGCCCACGCCACTCCCTGCACCCTGGCCAGTGCAATCCAGTCCAGATTCCTCCACTGCGTCACAGACATCACTAATCTATTTTTCACTGATGTCACAACATTCCTGGGGCTGGGCACTTTGTAAAGAACAAAGGTTTCTCTAGCTCACAGTTCGAGAGGCTGAAAGTCTGAACAGTATGGTACAGCTCTGGGGAGGACTCTTTCCACATGAAATCCTGATGGACAGAGCCACACCGGAGCTCGTGTCGCAGGAAGAGCTCACATGGGACGCAGGAAGCCAGGGAGAGCAGGGAGGGGCTGGTCTGGCTCTTTCACGACTACTGCCTTGTGAGAACTACCCACAAGAGAGTCCTGAGAGGACAGTGCCCCATGACCTCCCTGAGCTGCAGCCCTGGAAGGTCCTGTGACCCCCTGGAGTTCCGACACTGGGGATAGAGATTCCCGTGCATGCAGCTTGGGGGCACACCCAAGCCGCGGCCACATCCAGCAGCCACCCCCGATGTGGCTGTCCCTCCTGGGCTCACACCCTCCTCCTAAGGACACTGTGTCTCGGGTTGCATTTCGATACCAAAAACATTTTGGTTTGTTCGTTTATTTTAAAATCCAACAGTGTCGGTTGGGTTCGTGTTTGCTTGGGATACTGAGCCTCTACCCCTGCTACGTACGCAGCCTGGTAACAGCAGCAAAACATTGGCTCTTATAATTAGTGTGAAAACTTGAGTGCAAGATTATTAAGTCCAGGGCTATTCTGTATGGAAGGCTTTTGACCTAATGTTCTGGGTTCTCCGTCTTGAGGAAACTCTGGAGCATGGTTTGAGGTCCCCAGACAGAAAGGGCCCGCGCTGGGCTTCCCTCCTCCTCCTCGCGGAGCTTTGTTGCTCTTATTTTTTTAATCTGGAGATGTTGCTGCCTAAGCGGCTGCGCTCTCAGCAGTGTTCGGGGGGTGCTGAGATAAAAGGGGAAAGGGCGGGGGTGTGTGTTGAGGGCGAGCCGTCGTCCCGGGGCACCCTCTCGGGAGGCCCCGGCCATATCACCGTGGGTTAGAGGTCACATGCCGGTGTCCCTCGTTGCGGAGCAAGTGTTCCCTGATTGCTGAGTGTGGCTGCCAGACGTGAGCTCCTTGACCCAGGAACGTGCCCGGCAGCACCCTTGCCTGTGGGCCCTGGTTGTGTCTCCTCGCAGGCATGTCCAGGAGAGCAGTGCGGAGCACCCCTGCGAGAGAGGAAAGCCGGGTCCTGCACGCATGTGTTTGCAGGTGGCTCACAGGGCCTCTCCTGCCTGCGTCCCCAGCGCCCGCGGGCCCCTCCGTTTGCCTGGACTCTTGCTTTTCTC